GATTGAGGAGGATTGGTAAAGCAGAGACACATGCTTGTGCTAAGGGGGTCCTTACCCCTTTATTTGTTGGGTAATTTTGAGATAGGGTGGCGACCTGTAGGTTGGGAATTGTTTATTGTCGAAATCCCTGCTCTTCCCATGAAACTGATTAAATAAGTGACAGAGTCTAGTAGTTTTGATGCTCATAGTGACTCTCTTTTCTAAAATAATTATTCACTTATATCTTAAATGTTAAGATTTATAAGAAAAATTACTTTAAAATTATTTTATTGCAATAAAATTTCACTAAAAATATTAAATATTTTATTTTAAAGTATGAATTAAATTATTTTAAATTTTTTTTATAGTGATATTTTATTAAAATGATATAGTTTTAGTATGAATTTTTCTTTTAATTTTTAAAAGAGAAATTAGATAAACACAAATCTTATATGAATAAGTAGCAATCTAGCAAGTTAATGATCTAAGAAGCTCATTTTCTTTTCATAAAAATAAGATATTTGGAGTTTAAAACATATGACTTATAAATAGGCATTTAGGTAAAGTAAGTTCAGGAAAGAGAGAGAATATATCTTATTACGTAATATTAAAAAAAAAAAAAAAAAGCCCTAGCAGTCTAGCATGTAAAAGTTGCAATCAATAATTATTTTTCTTTTCAAAGTAAGTTGCAATCGATAGTTGCACTGGCCCTTGAGGCCTAGTGGCATAGCCACGGTGCATTCCCCCTCCCCCGACAGGGTTCAAAACCTGCCATTACAAAATATGTTCAAAAAAAAAAAAAAAAGTTGCAATCGATAGTTAGTACAGTAAAAAATTGAGTTTAAGATTTTCAGACTCCTGAAATTTTAGTTGGCGAAATTCGTCAGACCAGTGGATTTTGACTAGACCTGGCAAACGGGCGGGTTGAGTTGGGTTAGGGTCGGGTCAACTCGGGTGACAGGTTAGACGGGTTGGGTTATAAACAGGTTGCGGGTTGGAAACATCTAACCCTAACCCGACCCTAACGGGTTGCAGGTTAACCCACGGGTTAACCTTATTTCATTCTTTATAATTATTTTTCGTTAATTTTATTATACATAAATAAAATTATATATATCTAAATATAATTAAAATATTGT